CCCATCCCATCCCCATCCCATCCCATCCCCATCCCATCCCCATCCCCATCCCACCCCACCCCCATAGGTTCCCACATCCCCCGTGAGGTCCCTGGAGCACCAAGTGACACCACAGCACACGGATTTGGGGACATTTAATGACCTCGCGGGTCCCAAAGCAGCGAAGCACGCAGCGCAGCGGGGTCCCCACCCGGGGGGTCCCCACCACCCCCCTCCGTCCCCTCCCCCCACCCGGGGTGCCCGTGGGGGAGGACGGGATGGGACAGAATCCATCCCCCCGGAGCTGTCCCTTGGACAGGGGGGACACAAATGGGGTTGGGGTCGCCCCTCACCCTCCTGGGGGCTGAAGCAGCGGCGATGGGGGCGAAGCGCGGGCTGGGGGTGCCGTGCCACCAGTAGCACCAAGAGGGAGGATGGGGTGACCCCACCCCGCTCCCCAGGGCGGCACAGCGGGGGTGGCCCGGGGGTGACACCGCGCCCGTGTCACGGCTCCGGGGGTGCCCGGCGCGGGGGGCTGACCATGCGGTACGGGGGCTGGCCACTGCCACGCTTGCCACGGGGCACCCCGGGGGTCGCCGTGCTGGGGGCACCGCTGCCCGAGCCGGGCTCTGGCTCTGCGGGAAGAGAGAAAAGGGGTGTCGGGGGTGGGATGTCACCCCCTGCCCCAAAAATCCCCAAATCAGCCTTGGGGGCTGTGGGTGCGCTGCCCCGCAGAAATGGGGCTCGTTGCCCTCCTGTGGCTCTGGGGGTCCCCACCCGAGGACCCCCCCAGCTGGCACCCCTGCCTGGCACCCCCAGTGTGGAAAAGCACAGCTGGAATGGGGAGGGGGAGGGGGGATGAGGGTGGGGGGCACCCGCTGTCCCCAGCTGGGCACCTGGCACGGGGGGGCTGGCACCGGGGGACCCCTTGGGACAACGGGAGCTCTGGGAGCTGCTTCAGTCCGAGAGGGTCCCCGTGGCCTCCGGTGAGCCCGGGGGGCTCCGTGAGTCTCCCTTGGCTTGAGGGGGTCTCCGTGGTCTCCTTTCTCCAAGGATTTCCTTGAGCCTTGGGGAGCTCCATGGTCTCCCCTGTTTCCAGAGGGGCTCTGGAGCTTCCCTTGGCTTTGGGGGGCCTCCATGGGTCCCCTTGATCCAAGAGGGGTTTCCATGGTCTCTTTTGAAGTGAGAGGGGCTCCATGGTCTCCCTTGAACCCTGAAGAGCTCCCTTGGTCCAAGAAGGGTCTCCACGGTCTCCTTTGGAGTGAGAGGGTCTCTCCTTGGTCTCGCTTAAACCTTGGGGAGCTCCAGAGTTTCCCTTGGCCCATGAGGATCTCCATGGTCACCTCCCAACCCAAGAGTATTCCATGTTTGCCCCTCTCAATCCAAGCAGTTCTCCACGGTTGTGTGGCTAAATCCAGGAGGATCTCCGAGGTTGCCCCTCTCAATCCAAGCGGATCTCCACTGCTGCCTCTCAGTCCAAGCAGGTCTCCAGGCTCTCCCGTGGCCCCGGAGCTCTCCGGTGCCCCGTTCCCGGTGGCTCCAGCCCCCCGTGCTCCACGCCCGCTCCCGGGGGTGCCACGGCGCTCCAGGCTCATGCGGGGTGGGGCAGGGTGGGGTGGGGGGTGGTTACCTGGCCAGATGATGGCTTCCAGCAAGGTGACCCTTCTAGCCAGGACCTCCAGCCGGGCCTGCTGCCACAGGAGGGTTTGGAAGCTACTGGCCTGGGGGAGAGGGAGAGAGCAGAGCAGAGCAGAGCAGAGAGCGTTGGCCCCGCGGTGGGCACGGCACGGGGACACGGCACGGGGACAAGGGATGGGGACACGGGATGGGGACACGGCACAGCAGGGGTGGCACAGCGTGGTGGGGGCACGGCAGGGGTGCAGCCCCAGCAGGATGGGGGTGCTGGGGCACGAGGAGGGGGTGCCAGGTCTCCCAGGAGGGTCCTCCCGGTCTCAGAGGGGTGCCGGGGGTCCCCCATCCCTGCAGCTCCATGGGGACAGGAGAGTCCCTTGTGCTGGCCCTGTGGCAGACGCTGCTGGCATGATGTCCCTGACAGAGCCCTGATGGGGACACTGATGTCCCCGACCTGGGGTCGCTCCCTCTGCCACCCCCAGAACACTGAGCTCGACAAAACATGGGGGGACATGTCCCCAACCTTCTCAGAGGGCCACCGGCTTGTCCCCAGCACAGACTGTCACAGTGTCCCTGCCTGAGGCGGGCAGTGCCCAGCTGGAGGTGACGGTGGGGGGACCCTGGTGGCCTTTTAGTGGTCCCATGTGCTGGCCATGATGCCACCATGTCACTGCATGGCTAATGTCATGATAGCCAAGGGCCACGGTGATGTCACAGGGGCCTGGTGACCAGGGATGGGGGTCACCCTGCTGTCCCTGTCCCCCCATGGCATGAGGAGGGGCTGCCAGGGGTCCCCTCCCTGCAGCTCCATGGCATCACTGAGCCAAGGGCCACCGTGATGTCATGGGGACCCGGTGACCTGCTGGCAGGGGTGGGGCTCACCCCGGGGGTCCCCGTCCCCCTACTCACCGTAGAGCCCAATCATTGTTTCCAAGATTAAAACCCTCTCCGCTAAAATCTTCAGCGCCTCGCGGAGCTGGTGCAAACCCTCCCCCTGGGGCAGAGAGGGACGGGGTGAGGGGGGCTGCACCCCAAATGGCCCCAGCCCACCCCCGGGGAGGTGGGGACCCAGGGACCCCCCGACTCACCACAACACCAAGGGAAGGAGTGGGGGCACCCCGGGGGGGTCTGAGCCCACCCTGTGCCCCATCACCCTGTTGAGGTGACTTTGGCACAGCCAGGGACCCCCGGTGCCACTGTTGGGGTGCTGGGGATGAGACTTGGGCAGGGCTGGGGACACACAGGACATCACTGGGGTGCCAGGGATGACATGTGGGGCACTGGGCATTACTGGGGACACCTCTGCCAACACCCGGGACCCAGGGACAAGCTGTGGGAACAAGTGGGGACCCCGAGGACATCACTGGGGTCCCAGGGACAGTGTTGGCGTCCTCCCATACCTGTCAGCCCCAACCCAACCCCTGTGCCCCCCTCCCATCCCCGGTGTCCCCGGTGCCACTCACCCAAGTGCCCCTCTCGCCCGGCTCGCCCCGGGGGCCCGGCTCGCCCTGAAACACAGAGAGGAGAGGGCCTGGCAGCGGGGGGCACGGGGGGCTGCGGCCGGGGGGGGCCCGGGGGGCCCGCCCCACCCACGTACCTGCGCCCCGTCCTGCCCGCGGCTGCCCGGGTGGCCCTGGGGACCCTGCGGGGGGACAGAGCCCATCAGCACCCGGGGGGCACGGCCAGACCCGCACTGAGGGAGATGCTGGCAGACCCCACACCAGACCCCCCCCAAACCCCACCCCAAAACCCCCAAACCCACCCATGGCCTTGAACCAGACCCCCCAAACCTCCTCAGTGGCCACGCACCAGGTCCCCCCAACCCCAGCCCCAACCCCAGCCCCAACCCCAGCCCCAGCCCCAACCCCAGCCCCAATCCCA